AGATTTTTTTTAATTTTTGCTGTGGTCTTAATAAGTCGTGCATATACATATGAATATAAAACTGTAATATTCCTTATAGCGTGTAAAATCTTTGCCTGTATATGCACTTCAACGTATAGAGTAGAAGTGAAACGCGCAGACGATACATCATCGTTACATGTAGCAGCAAACGTTGCAGTATTCAATAACCGATAGGAATTAGCGCCAATTCCTTTAAAGAATAATTTGCCATCTTAAAAAATAGATTGGATTTATAAACAATGACTCGTCTCAAATATAATGGAACTTTCTCAAATCAGGGTACAAGTAGCGATAAAACTAGAAATTTGTAATAATCCTTCCCAAGAGGAACTCTTGGGTGACCATGTTTCTTTTCGATTCATGAGTAACTTGGCAAAAGAATTCCTACACCAGGTTGTCGTTACTCTTTAGAGTAGACTGGTTACATACCAAGGCTATGGGACCCAATCTGTCCTGCTATTTCCTCCATACTTGGAACGAGAAAGGGGGGAAGGGGAGAGTGAAAAAAGAAATATAGGTAGGAGGGTGGAGAGAAAGGAAAAGGAAAGAGGGAGAGAGTTAGAGAGCCAGTCGATTCATGTTTATTCAGTCTCTTTCTTACGTACCATGCGTGATGCACGCTTGGGTAATGACGCTTTTTGTCGATTAAAGATTAACTAACCAGAAGAATTCCAGCAGTAGACTGCCGATAATCTTTCTGGTAGCCTGGTTATCAACCAATCTGTCCTGCCATATAACCCATAACTGTGGCACGGGGTGGGGTTGAGAAGAGATGGATTCGTATTTTTTTTTCCCAACGGTATTTACGCGTAAGAAAATATCATGATCTCGACTTGAACTCAGTTCTCTGAAATCCCATTCCGAGCCATTATCCATTACACCAGCTGTACACCGAAGCTTACAGTACCTGGTATTCCAAAGCGGTCAGCCATTTAGGTACTGACGAGGCTCGACGTTGCAGACCTGATATATATCTAGAGATCCTTGCTAAACTTCAGCAATGTTATAGGTCCTGACCTGACATCTTGGCTTCAGTCAGTTTCCCACCGACGTAATTCCGTGTGTCTTTTCTATGAATACTTTCATGGTAATTATTCAAATGAATTCTCTGCTGTATTACCTAAACTTCATTAATGTAAGCGCTATACGAGAATGGTAACATGGTCTCATCAGTTTACAGTTGGACTGGCTAGATGTAACCGTAAGTTCTATGCTAACTGTTTCTTTTCTCGCACCTGTGGAACTCCCTTCCGACTCTATGCTTTCCAGAGAAATTTGATCTTCAAAAATTCAAATGCAATGTCAATCGCTATCTGCTGTCTTTTTGATTACTATTCTATTGTTTTCTTTTTATTTCTCCTTAATGTTTCACTTTTTTATCTTTTATTTTATGTATTTATTTATTTATTTGCACACTCGGTAACACCTTGTGTCTCAGTGGCTTTACTGTTTTACATGGGGTGAAATAATATGAAAAAAAAAAGATGTTTTAGGCGAGGTAAATTCTTTGGTTTCACCTTTACAACTAGGACCTCCCATGCCACCTATGTCCAGTCATACACGTTACCTTTGTATTCCATTCGTAAGTAAGAAGTTCCGTTCAGACAGTTTCTTCCACAGAAGACTTTCCTTCTGCAAGAGTCACCAGAACGGCATGCTTCCGCAGTCGTCACAAGCTAATCCTCTTCTTTAGTAGTATCGTCGTTGGCAAAACTCGTGCGTTTATTGTTCAAATCCTAGACTGGAGGCGTGCTATAATCTATAAGATAAATACTTATCTAATTTATCTATTCTCATAATTTGCAGCTATTAGCCCCTCTGCTCTTGCTACAACCTCATTCAGTAACCCTCTACCTCAAGTGGCTCTTGGGTTTATATTAGAATAACAATAGTATTAAAAGGTTTTTTTGGTTTTTTTTATAAATTTCAACTGACAGTAACGCTCACTGTTCGGCCAATGAATAACCAATGTTTCTTAAATGGAAATGGTTATTCTTGCAGTTGTCATTCTGATGAGAAATTGTAGCTTACTCAGTTTTTGGAAATCATTTTTGTTTTGCGATAAATCCCTGCTCTTTGAACTGAAATTTCTAAACCTCATTCTAATAAGCGTGAAACAGGGCACAACTTGATAATTTTCTTTCAATAATGACGAGGCTCCGTTAAATTTACCTGATGCTAATAACGAAAAAAAAAACTGTGTATTATCTGTAAAACTACTTACTAATCTTCCCAGAGGTTAGCAAATTAGTAAATTCAACCAGATCGTGCTGGATTATGAATGGCGATTAATCTGTCGATGTGGTATAAACCAATCTTTACACATGCCATGTTTACTCACGTGTGATGACATATGGATCCCCACGGGGGAAGCGGGCACGTGATAAGCGAAGTGAAAATAGGGCGATTTTCTTGCTCTTGATTATAAGGTAGTATACTTTTTAGCTACATTGTTATTTTTAATGTTTTTTTTTAATGATTTTAATCTTAATTTTGCTTTCACTGTTTAACTCAACATCCAGTCTTTAGCTTTCACACTCGGCTTGATTTTTTCCTGTTGATTCTAACACATGTTTAGAATTCGTTGGCTTAGTTGAGATGCTTTCTTTCCGTCTTTAATGTGCTTTTTCACCAGTGTTTTTAATTATCATTTTTAATATCCAGTTCCGATGAATAGAGAATTGATCAAACGATTTTTGGTCATTTTTTTTCCATTTTAATTCTTCTCTTTTATTTCAATTTGAACGTATCTTAAGACCAGTTTTTTTTAGTTCTTTCTTGATTTTTTTTTCTTTTCAGTTAAAAGAAAATAATTTCAAAATTTCAGGTTCCATTTAAGTAATCTTTTTTCTTCAAAATTTCTTCATTAGAATAAAAAGTCCGCTAAAAATGTATACACAAATCAGGAAAGGAAAAACTTCTATAAATATTGTAATACTAAATTTGATCAGACATCGTGAGATTAATACGAGTTAGCTTTGTAATCACAAGATCTGCTCAAAACGGTGGAGTTTAGCTTCCAGAAATTTATTAGTACGGCTAACTGCTGCTTGGGCAACGTTGGGAAACGTTGGCTAAAGTGTTCAGTCTGATTTCTGCACATGCATTTTCAATTTCTTGTTTAAGGGCCGCCAATGCAATACCATATGTCGAGAAAATATCGTATTATAAATACAGTAAACAGTATTATCGCAATTTGATAGAACTACGAAAGACTACTTTTCCTTTCCTGAAGTGTGTATACATTTTTTTGGTGGTGGACTCTGTATCCGTAGATATACAACTATGTACGAAGAATAATGATATATATATATATATGACGATCGCTAAAGCGTGAAACCCAGGGTCACAAACTCACATCTATAAATATATATATATATATATATATATATATATATATATATATATATATATATATATATATATATATATATATATCATTATATAATTAACTCTGATATTTTGCATTGAGCACTGTCTTATTTACAATAATGGATATACATATATATATATATATATATATATATATATATATATATATATATATATATATATATATTTCTGTATAAAAAAATTGCACGTACATTAATATTAATTGATACTATATATAATAATAGTTATATAATAATAATATTATTATATATTTAATAGCTCTGTTATTTTGCATTGAGCACTAACTTATTTACAATAATGTATATATATATATATATATATATATATATATATATATATATATATATATATAGAGAGAGATATAGATATTTGTATGTAAACACTTGCACGTACATTTATTTATATTTATTTATTTGATTATATTCATATATATATATATATATATATATATATATATATATATATATATATATAATATATATAGATTAATTGATTTAAAATATGTTTTTTCCGCTACACAGTTCTTACCATGTTTCAAACATGGATGGTCCGAATTTAATTTTGTAATTAAATTAAAGACATTAGTTCCATTTCATACTCAAGCGAATTTGGGAGTAACTTTTAAAATTACTGGGTTTGAAAGACACAGCTAAAATCATATTTCACGTTTCCAAGGTTACAGATAAATTCACTTCCATTAGACAGGGGGCGTCTGCGTGTTCATTATATCTGTATTTTGATGTATCCGTTATTAGTTAAGTTTTGGTAGGGGGTAGGCATGTATTCTTCAATAAAATCTGACATCCGTTAAATGCATGTCGTCTGGATTTTTTTTTAAATTTATTGTTAACGGCAAAAATTCTTACGGCATTTTTTCTTTTTGCATATTCAAAGATTTGGGGTGGGGTGTTCAGGTTAGAATACGTTTTATTTAACTTCTTTCTTTTATTTATATACACACACACACACACACACACACACATATATATATATATATATATATATATATATATATATATATATATATATATATATATATATATATATATACATATATACACTTTAAACTCTATTTTAGTGGATACACTTATTTGAGTATACTTTCCATTTATTTATCAAACACTATATTTATTTATTTTCGCCTACCTGCCTGAATATTTGAGAAATCTGATTAAAGAAAAATATGCGGTCTCAAATATTCAGTAATAATAAAGTAATAACGTATTAGCAATAGCAAATAATGTCTTTGGAATAATGATTTTTCCATATGCATTTACGAATGTGGGGTCTGGAAAATAGTTATGTTTACTTGTGAATGGTTGATTAACTTGCATGTAAACGGCTTGCATATCCTTTAATCGTTTTTTTTTTCTTTTTTTCACAATTAAGTTCTTCAAATAATAACGACGCCTTTCAAAATAATGGTACAATCTACATCTTAAATTGAACATAAATCTTTTTTCGCAGACCCCTGATGACGCAACAGAAACTTTGACGAATTTATCAACACTCTTTGATCCATTCGTAGAAAAGATCATTAAATATAATAAGTACAAAATATCCATTGTTTTTAACAATATATGTTCTCAATTATACCGAATAGACAGATAGATGTTAACAAAAATGAGATATGGATAGATAGATAGATAGATAGATAGATAGATAGATAGATAGATAGATAGATAGATAGATAGATAGATAGATATGAACAGACTGAGATAGATAGATAGATAGATAGATAGATAGATAGATAGATATGAACAGACTGAGATAGATAGATATGAACAGATGATAGATAGATAGATGAGATAGATAGATAGATAGATGAGATAGATAGATAGATAGATAGATATGAACAGACTGAGATAGATAGATAGAAACAGACTAGATAGATAGATAGATAGATAGATAGATAGATAGAAAGATAGATAGATAGATAGATATGAATAAGAACAGACTGAGATAGATAGATATGAAAGAGAGATAGATAGATAGACAAAGATAGATAGATGATAGATAGATGATAGATAGATGAGATGAGATATGAACAGACTGAGATAGATAGATAGATGAACAGATGGATGGATAGATAGATAGATAGATATGGACAGGGATAGATAGATAGATAGATGGAAAAGATAAGATAGATAGATGGATGAACAGAGTAAGATAGATAGATAGATAGATAGATGATAGAACAGAGATGGAGATAGACAGGATGAGATAGATAGATAGATAGATAGATAGATAGATAGATAGATAGATAGATAGATATGAACAGAGATAGATAGATAGATAGATAGATAGATAGATAGATAGATAGATAGATAGATATGAACAGACTGAGATAGATAGATAGATATGAACAGAGTGAGATAGATAGATAGATAGATAGATAGATAGATAGATAGATAGATAGATATTAAGAAAGAAAGAAAGAAAGAAAGAAAGAAAGAATGGATATGAGAAAAGAGAAATAGAACCGAATTCCCCTCACCAATTCGCTGACGACCAAACGATGATGCGGAAAAAAGTTGAGGAGATGTGGGTATTGTTGAATCGATATAAATTCGATCAATATTCCCGTAATCGATTATTTGTATTGTAGTAACGAACAATTACATAATAATTGAAATGAACATGGGAGAACAATCGAACAAAGGAAGACCTTCAATATAGAAACCTATCAATCGATGACAGCGTCGAAAAGGAAATTCATCCAACACTTTAAACTAAATTCTTTAAGCTGATAGCATTCACAAATATAAAATATGTTTCATACCAAGACTTTTCGGATTAGGTCTTTGGATTGGTTTTGCTGCCACAATCTTTCCTCAATATTCTTTTTGTTGTATAGGCCTTAAGGTAGGGTTCTCAAACTTTTTTCTCCATGCCGCATTTTCGAAATGAAAATTTGCTCGCGTCTAACTAAAATTTACGTGAGAAAAAATACAGTTAAAAAAAAAAAAAAAAAGAAGAGTGGGTTAAAGGGAGATAACCGCAGATTCAAAGTCAGAACATTATTATTGATAACTCTCTCCTTTAATTTTCAGACCCCAGTTTCTAAATTTTTAATATTTGAAATAATGCAAAAATATCATAATGATAAAATCGGTCAATAATTATTTAGACTTATTGATACTAGGAGGCAGGCATGCAATTACAAGTAATCCATAATATTTTAAATTTGAAAATTTATTTTTGGCATATGAATTATTTTTTTTTAAATCTTTGATTGTATTTCAATCATTCTGCGTCCACAGCACCTATGATGCGAGCGACACCGCTTGGGAACCATTGCCTTAAAATATGGGAGATTTTTTTTCCTTCTTTGAACTTGATGCGTTCTTTAGACATCTTTAGCTGTGCAGTCCATACGAAACGAGACGAGATTTTTCATACCAATATTTACCCCAAGGCAATAAAGCCACTAAGATGCAAGAGGTTACTGAGTGTTAAAAATATGAGAAAAAAAGATAAACATTATATAGGACAGGGAACAATAAAAGAACAAAAATTAAGAATACATAAGATAACGTTTTAATATCTGACAGGAATGCAAGAAGCCGAAAGATAGTTTCGCAAGCGAGAAGTTCGAGAGAACAAACTGTTGCACCTAGAAATTTCAACTGAAAAATGATGAGATCTTGCCGCCAATCTAGTGCTACGGTTAAGTTCTGTTATGGACTATTCCTGACATTATAAATACTGCGCCTCTCAAGAGGTATGAGGACATTGTAAGACGAATTGAGATAATTGAGAGCATATTGTAAGGACATTGGAATAGTGATACTTGTCAAGACAACATAGTTCACTCTAACCAAATCTGATAGTCATTACTATCACTTCTACTTCTTTGTATTATATTTCTGTTGTAATATATCTTTGTATTCCATACCTGTGTTCGTGTTATTCTTTCATTGGTTCTAACCTTGGACCATCACCGTGGTACAAGGAAATTGGACCATAAGTTCATAGCGTCTAGATAATAGAGACGAAATTTCCTCGGAACAATTATCATAAAAGTCTTTATAGAACAGGCACAGGGAAGCTACATTACGGCGTTGGTAAGTAACTGAAGCCGAGACGCCAGGTCGGGACCAATAACATAGCAGATTTTTCTTTGGATTTTAACAGGAATCTCAAAATTCATAGCAGGCGCACCAGACCAGATATAAGGGCTATAGTCAAAGCATGAATGAATTGTAGACTTATGAATATGTAAAATAGTTTATGGAGGAAAAGATTGTCTAGAACAATGCCGTAAACAAATTTCCGGTAGTGGAAGAGCTAATAATTGATTCAATATAATCTTTTAACTTCATTTAAACGGAAAACATTAGCCCGGGAAGATACAGTCACTCTTCTGGGGGTTAGCATCAGCCATATTGATGGAAGCCGAGAGAGATTTTCTCAGACGGTTAAAAGAGAGCAGTTTCGGTTTCGGGTGTTAAATTATTACTAAATACTCGTACTTTGATAGTTTTTTTTAAAGATCTTCATAGATATATTACAATCGTCAGGGACTTCTATGTCAATAAGAAAGCCCATTCTGTTTTTGTGGTCCTTTAAGCTTTAAATGTTTTGTCTGTGCGTATTGTAAAGTCCCATAAAATTGTTACAGATCCTATCTCTGTAACCGGGTTTAGGTGATGTTAATAACATTATTATTATTGTTATTATTTTCTTTGATTTCTGGCGTTTACACATTTCTTTCCGGGTCCCGCCCAGGGACCTAAGGTTAGAAATGGCATCATGACACTTTCCACTGACAAAAAAAAAAGGGCTGTACTTGTCAGAACAATTTTTTGTATCTCCTTGAGGCATGGACTTCCAGGAATCCCTTCAATTAGTCTACTGCAATCTTTTCACACCAGTCCTAGGGCTCCAACTACAACAGGGATTGTTGATGTTCCCATATGCCACATTTTCGAGATTTCTATTTCAAGGTCCTTGTATTATTATTATTATTTTTATTATTATTATTATTATTATTATTATTATTATTATTATTATTATTCCTGACCCTTTTAGGCAAATGTTTACTGTGGTATACTGTGACTTTTGGAGTCAGTTTCTCAACACTTCAAATTCTGTCATTATTCTTGTAAGTTTTATTCTTTGTTGAGATACCCAGACCTTTCATTCTTTTTACACGGACACCGTGACCGGTTCAAGTTTCCTAATTATTATGTGGTACCAATGCCTCATTATCCTTTGTTTATTATTGCCTCGTGATATGTCTGTTTTATAAAACCTATCCAACATGACCCTCAAAACTAGCATAGGCAGTACCCAATACTTTCCAAGCCGCATTTGGCTGGGTCCAGATCTTGACATCCCAATACTTTATTACAATTTCTACTTATTAAAAATATTCGAATCGTCGAAAACTGTCACCTCAATACAAAAGCATGTTTGCCTTAGGATAAACTATGATGTCTGTTGATTTCATCTAAATGTCTCTTTTGATCGTCCTGTCAAGCTTATTTATTGTATAACTAATACTATGTTCAAGCGACCATACATGAGTACCTTGGAAAGTGAACCGCGTAAATTACTCTCCAACATGCTGTGGCCACCGAAATATTGAATAAGTGCCAAACATAGAGAGAGAGAGAGAGAGACGTGATATACCCTTGTATATAATTGACAGGTACCTGGCAAATACTGCATTTGATGTCAACCCTCTGCATTTAAATTTTGGGTCGGATTAATAACTTGCATTGTGCCTGAATCATTTAAGCTTCTGCTTCTCCATAACGGATCGACAAAAAGAAATTTCCACTCGAGGATGATCAAAGAATCCCTCGGCTAAAATTCAAGCAAGGACAAGGACTAGAATAAGTTTTATTGTCATAATGCCAATGACTTAGCATAGAATTTAAAAGCAAAATATCTTCTTTTGACGCCGTTTGGGAATAATAGTGACTAGACCCTGGAATGTGTATTTCGTTATGTTCTCAGTTCCCAATTATAGCAGATAGATAGATAGATAGATAGATAGATAGATAGATAGATAGATAGATAGATAGATAGATATGAACAGACTGAGATAGATAGATAGATAGATAGATAGATAGATAGATGATAGATATGAACAGACTGAGATAGATAGATAGATAGATAGATGAGCAGATGAAATAGATAGATAGATAGATAGATAGATGAGATAGATAGATAGATATGAGCAGAATGAAATAGATAGATAGATAGATAGATAGATAGATAGATAGATAGATAGATAGATAGATATGAACAGACTGAGATAGATAGATAGATAGATAAATAGATAGATAGATAGATATATAGATATGAACAGACTGAGATAGATAGATAGATAGATAGATAGATAGATAGATAGATAGATAGATATGAGAAGACTGAAATACATAGATAGATAGATAGATAGATAGATAGATAGATAGATAGATAGATAGATAGATATGAACAGACTGAGATTAGATAGATAGATAGATAGATAGATAGATAGATAGATAGATAGATACTAGGCCCTTGAATGAGTATTTCGTTAAAATTATTTTTCTTTCCGTCTGTTGCTCTTGATAATGAGTCAATTTGATGTTTCACTGTGTCTTGCAAACTATATAAAATCTCATGGTTAGTCGATATGATCTAGACAGATATTTTACTTAACAAATGTTAAAATTATATTTAAAATAGCTAATACAAATTCTAAAGAGACAATGCGAATTATACGCAAAAGACTCTTTGTTGCCATGTGTTAAACTTGCGTATCTTACCCAAACAACAACACTACTTTTTGATCTTGTTTGTTGATTTTGTTAGCGGCATATCAACACATCAGTGGGTCGTTTAATACCGAAACCTAAGTATTTCGATTGCAATTTTATGGCCTTAACTGAACGTTTTTTGTACTTAATTTTATACTTTTCGAGTAAAGGTATGTTTTTTGGATATAGTTTGCAGATCATAAAATGTATTGTTGGTAATTTTGCCATAATTATGTATTTTTATATTACTTTTTTTTTATTATTGCATTGATTTTCATTTTGTTATAAAATGCATTGTTACCCATTTTATTATGAAAATGTACCGATTTTTTGTTTGGTAGTTCACTATTTGCCCATATATAAACCCCTAACAAGTGCAACGATTCCGGGTTAGGGTGGGCATGGAAAAAACCGCAATTTAGGGGTAGTCCCAGGCTCCTTAAAAATCCATATCTCCTAATCAGAGGCTTTGTGCTGTATGATTTTATAGTCATACTAAGAACGCATTTTCATCTTATATATATATATATATATATATATATATATATATATATATATAGATATAGATATATAGATATATATTGTGTATATTTAGCCAGAAATTTTTCATTGATGCATGTTTCATTAAATAATATAGACAAGTTTTGTCTATTTATTTTAAGTAAGTTCCTTTTGTATTGTCTGATAAGCTTAATTACATTATCATTGAAAAACGAAAGGAAATCACCATATTGATACATGTTTGAATCAATCTAAGCTTTCGGCTTACATATGCCATTATCAAAGTTCACACTTACTTTTCAATCTATCAACCAATACACGGACGAAACAATAATGATATATATATAATATATATATATATATATGATAATATATATTTTAGAGTAAGATATGTAATCCGGTGTTCTTATTGATATTATTATTTTTACAAAACAGTGCTCAATGGAAATTTACAAAGCATAAATATTATAAATATATTTATATGGTTTCATATATGAAATATATATATATATATATATATATATATATATATATATATATATATATATATATATATATATATACTTTTTTTTTTTAATCCTCTAATCAATATCTGTTTTCTGGTTTCTGATGACATCTTTAATCTCTTTATGTTATCTCAAGAATTGATATTTTCTTTTTTAATGATTTTACACATGGAAAGGCAATGAAGCCACTAAGACGCATGGGATGACTGAGTGTTTGAGAATATGAGAAAAAAACGCTACTAAGTAGAGGGAATAAAAGAACAAAAATTTAAAAAGACAGTAGATAACGACTGACGTTGCATTTTAATTTTTCTCCATCAAAGTTGACTAGAAAACGAGGACCCCGGAGAGATCCCCACAAACGTTAAAAGAAACTGTTAGCCTTTAAACTTACGATTGCATCTAGCCATTTCACCCGTAAACTTAAATTCTTAAAGTTTAGATACATTAGAGGAATGTTCAGCAGAACAGATACCATGAACGTATTTACAGAATAGGCACAGGTAAGCTACTTTACGGCGTTTAGTAAATGACTGAAGCCGAGATGCCAAGACAATATTAATAATATTGCACATTCAGAGCATGGGTGAATGGTCTTATAAATCAATCAGTTATGCGCCATGCGTGATATACGCTTAGACGATCATGTATCTTTCGATACATAACTGACAAGACAGATTTTTTTTTCCCGGAGTAGGTTGCCATTTCTATCTGTGGTAGACAAGTTGTCATCCAAGGCTATAGAACACGACCTGGCATGCTAACGATAGATCAGGCATTTAGTTATGTGCCAGGTGTGATACACGCTTAGGCGATCATGTATCTTTCGATACATGACTGACGAGGCAGAATGTTTGTCCCACAGTAGGTTGCCATTTCTTTCTGCGGTAGATCAGATGTCATCCAAGGCTATAGAACCCGGTCTATCCTGCTATTTACCCATAGAAAAGAAGTGAGTTTATACCTTTCCTAAGGGTATTAGCATGTAATGAGTTTAAAAAAAATGAACGTAACTGGAAGTCGAACTCGGCTCTCTGATATCCTCAATCCGAGCGGCTATCCATGACTCCACCATGCCTCTAGGTCTTAAGAATACAGATTTATAAAAAGGTAAGATAGATTCTGTTGAGAAAAATTGTCTTGCATGTCACAGGGAACCAACAATTGATTCAATGTCAATTCCATTTCATCTTTGTCTGTTTCCTTCTGTTTATTTTTGGGACGGGGGGTGCCCTCTATGCGCCCCACCCAAATCCCAAAGTTACCAATAGACACTAATCAATCACTTTATTAGGTAATCTCTTTCAGTGCCGGGTGAATCCGCTTTTGTATATATATTTTTTACAATAAAGTTCACCCTGTACAAAGCCTGAGGGCCATTCAAGGTAGAGGATTACGTTATAAGGCAGTTTCTATGGATAGGAGGGGAAGATAACGAGTGACTCTAGACTTAAACAGGTTAAGATTGTAGTGATCGGGTCAACATCTTCCTGGGAGTATGTGTCAGTGATTCTTGGATGAAACTTACTTCTTGCCTATTGAATACCGAGGGAATGTGGGTGGGTTTTTCTATGATGTAAGTGTCATGGTGGGTCCTAGCCGTGAAGGTTAGCACTGTCGGAACCAAGGAATGTAGTTCGTCTGAGCACTTTCCATGGAAGTAGCGATAGAGTAGTGAGAGGTTTTGCCACATCCCGCCTGTGAGAGAGAGAGAGAGGGGGGTTGAAGGGTGGAAAATAATTCTTCTCCAACAAGGATCCGGAGAAGCTTTTGAACACTATCAAGACTGGAATGTAAGTACTTTTTTTTTCAATCTTCCATTTTCCCATTTCTGTGATTCTTTAGGGAATTTTAACCAGTTTATTTTTCTTATCTGACAGAAATGTCTCTCGGCGAGGTAACCTGTCTGTTTTAAGGTTTGACTTGTGTCTTCCGAGTTGCTCTTCTACACACCTCCTTTGTAAAGAGCGACTACTGTTGCCTCTATAATCTTAAGCCAGCCAGGACATTATTCTCCAACTTCTTTCACCAACAATGGATTTCTGCCGACAAAATTGCTGCTTACAGGAATGTTTTTTTTACTATTTTTTAGACCAATGGTTCTCAATCGGGGTCTTTGTACAAATACTGGGAGTTCACAAAAAAAAATACCAAATTGGACTTAGGCGATCATGTTTCTTTTGGTACATGACAGATTTTTTCCCTAAGTAGGTTATCATTTGTTTCTGCGGTAGACTCGTTTCCATCCAAGGCTATAGAACCCAGTCTGTCCTGCTATTTATCCATAGCTCAAGCTAGAAGAGGATCCTTATCTTTCCCAAGGTTATTAACATGTAAGTGAACGTAATTGATTCAAGTGGAATTCGAACTCAGCTCTCCGATTCCTCAATCCGAGTCGCTATCCATTACTACACTGTCTGATTACAAAAATGCATAAAAGAGTTTTGTTTACCTATACTTAATTAAATGACCAATGAATGTACATTCATAGTACGCTTTATATTTTATTTTTACTAGACCAATCCATTATTAGTCTAACTAAATTTAGATAACTATTATATTTAGATCGTTCATTGAAGTAATTTACTAAGGCTATTATAGTCTGGCTAAGGGTTAGAAAACTAGAGTACTTCGAGAGAATCGAGCACACTATAATAATGAACTACCTAACGTGACTATCTTTCTAAATATTTTTCTTCGCCGCAGGTCTTGTCTTTGCGTGGGATGACAAATTTAGTTACCATACTGGAAATTGATTGACTCTTAAAGCATGTGGGAGTGGGTGTGAGGGAGGTGTCTGGTTAGGATTTACTTCTACTCTCATATATACTGTTACGTCTTCTATTATTCCTCTTCTCCATTATCGTTCCCAGCATTCCCACTGAGTCGACAGCCGGCGCCAATATTCTAATTG